CTGGTTGTAATGAAGTCAATATGAATTTATTACTTATCAAGAATATAGTGCAGAACATTTTGTTACGTCTTCCAGATTATGTAGTTGCATACTGCTACTGGATAAATTTATTACTTACCAAGGATCAGAATTTGGCCTTACCAAATGCTGCTCGATTTGTTTATCAGACATTTCTAATATGAATTAGAAAACGTGTTTCCGTCTACTGGTTGTTTAGTTAAGGAATTTAGTTGGGTTCCATGTAGTTAGCCGAGTTTCATTTTGAATCATTTGCTAATGTTCTTTTTATCCTGGTGGTGTTTCAGCAAGAAGAATCTGAGGTTGGTTTGCCAGGAGGAAATGGTCAGCTCTTGACACTAGGGGTTGGACTGTTAGCCACAGCATTGGCAGCTGCTTATGTAACACGACTGGCAAAGGTAAGTTCCTGCTTTGACAAGCATTTTCATTTATAGGGTTTGCCAAATCTCATTGTTCCTTTCGAAAACCAGACGGCTAAGAAGGCGATCTTAAAACCATGTTGAATTCTGGTTTTTGATGCAGGATGCTGTAAAAGATATCGATTAGGGGACGGGTCTGTCTGCCCATGAAGCCTACACAATGTATTTGAAACTCGCAAAAAGATTAGAAAAAGATGATAGCTACTTCACTGCCCGTGTAATTATCCAACTTTTGGCAAATTGAATAGGAATTGTATCATTAATTCCTGGGTTCCTAGCTGTATATTTAGCCCCATCGATTTCTTTTCTCTGTCTTGCATCGTCGTATGAGACCGATCTTAAAATTGAGAAATGTGGTTCAAATGTTTCCTTCCAGCTGGAGTATGTGTTTTTCAAGTGCAAAAAGAAACCCAGTGAACACACCTCAACACAAACTTTATGTTGGTATAGACATTAGTTGGTTTGATGTCAGTTCTTTGGCAAAGTTGGCGGTGCCCAAAGTCAAAGAGTGTGCTCATGTTCGTTCATATTGCAGTTTTTATTTATAAAACTTCTCCGATGCTATTTTGTGAAGTTTACCGTGCAATCCATTGTGCACTGTGTTGTCTCGACGAGTAAGAAACTGCACTACCAAACCCAAATTACAGCACTTGACAACAAGTTTATACTTATGGTATGGTTTTAGTTACCAATTATACATTTTGTTACAACACCAGTAAATAAAATTACAGTGGAACATAGATTACCGTCTCATTGAATAAAACTCAACATTCCGTTCCAACTTTGATCTTTCGTTTCATATTATGCTCTCTCTCTCTAATTAATCGAACGTAGTCGGTCACCATCCACGAGTCTTACGCTTCGTATAGTGACGTGTAGGTTTTACAATTGATTATACGAATCCGTTAATCTGACATGAAACAATATGAAAATAATAGGTTTGGGGTCAATTTGTTGACAGATCGGGTTGTTTTGGGTCACTCGTCAAGATAAGAGTTTTAACATGATCAGTTAAGATAATGGATACAAAACAAAAACAACATGAATGTGACAAACACAACTATTGCTTGTCCAGGTTTAGTGACGTGTGCGACGAGTCTCCTCCATTGTTTTGGACAATGAAATTTGTTGATGTAATCATCACACGATGTTACCGATCTGCTCATACTATAACACGTATGTAATGAGCAAGTCCTACGTTAATCTACTTATACTATAACTGTATAACATGTATGCCTATTTTTAAGTCCTACGTTAGTAAATAATTGTCTAGAAACGATTATGTAGAAACAGTCGTTGTACAATTGTTAGTATAGATTAGTCATAAAAGAGAGTTGACAATTTCGATTAAGAGAACACTGAGTGGCAAATATTGAATAAAATTTGGTAAGAACCATAACGGAATAGATTAATCGATACCGTATGCAGGTTGCCATGCATGCAAGTTATGGTTGAGTTGAGTGTGATTGGTCACCACATGTCCTGCAGAGGCCATGTTTGGCTGCGACAAGTGTCAAGTGTCTCCTACCGCCCACGTTCAATGTCTGAGAAACAAGCAACAACTTCATCTGTTTGCTTTTCAACCAGTTAGTCACATGATCAAATTCCTCAGAGTCCGCCACGACTTCACCTAATGCATGCATTTCAGATGCTTTATGGTGCCACTTGTCAAAACTCACCACCCTTTGGGAAAAAGGAATCAAATCTATAAATGTGCCTCCATAAACTCTTTGGCTCCAGATCATTCAGAATCTCTCCTTCGAACCATTTTGAAGTTGAATCCTTTGAGACTCTATCACCAGCAATCGTTAACTTACGATGGAATGGTCTCCTCAAGCTGCCTTGAAAGCTTACTTAGATACTCTTCAGCTGGTAATTTTCTAATACTTGACTTTGTTTTTGTGTTTTATTGTTAGGATTTCATGCGTATTGTTATTATGTGATGCATTTTATATATATAGATCGTGATGTAAAATACATATAGTATAATAATAGTTTGACAACATAACATGTCATATATACGACTGCCCACATCGACAACACTACTCGTTTTCAGTTCTTTTAAGTTCCTTGTTTTGTTAACTGAGTAATTCACATTCAATTGCTTATTCCATCCAGTTATTTTCTCTTAATGCAGCGCAAGTTTCACAATGATCAAGACTTGGTGCATGGAAGAAAACATGTAGTGGTGGTGTTATAGAACCAAAATGCATGGAATTTATATCAGCTTTAGCAGCTGGAAAGCGAGCAAGGTTAATGTTGCAAGTCACATCTGAAGGCGTAACACCGCTGACGGTTTCGCTTGCGGTGGCTGCAAAGCAAAGTGGAGGCCGACTGATCGTGTGCATTAATAATGACGACGACGACGATCATACGGAGAAGATTGGCAAAACCCTACTTGTGGAAAACGGTCTCGACAACGTCATTGAATATGTTTATGATACTGATCCTTGTAGAATGGTGAAGCATTTCAAGAATGTTGATTTTGCGGCTGTGGACTGCAAGTTTAAAGATTACTTGAAACTTTTGAAGGTTATGAATCTCAACCCAAATGGGAGTATAGTGGTGAGAAACAATATTGATGTGACTGTTAATGGAGGTCCAATTCTCGATCAAGTTTTCAAGGAAAAGAAAGGACTTGAATATGTGACCTTACCTTTAGGAGAAGGAATGGAGTTCACAAGATTCAGATCCAAGGGCAAGTGCAAAACCCAGAGATATAAGAGATTTCATGTAACATTTGAAAATTAAAATCTCGTATGTATTCCTTTTCTTTGTCCTTTAATTTAGGCCAAGAGGGTATGGTCTAAAAGTTGTCGAATCTCTTAATTTAGGCCTCTTTTGATGTCTGGAATTGGATTGAATAGTTAATCCAGCTTCTAGTTGATATTATATTCAGTGTCTGTAGAATGAAGGATTGGAGATGAGTTACAGATCAAGCTCATTTTGGTATCCATGTACAATTGTTTACTATTACTAATAGTATACTTTGATGCACCGTAACTAGGTATGCAGGTTGGATAACTGAAATTGGAAAGAAAGCTTGTTGCCGATATTTTTTCCATTGGAACTAGAATATTTCTGATCGGATATATTCATATGAAAATCACCCCTACGCGTAACTTGTTATCATTGAAAGGTTGGTTCTGAAGGAAATGTTTAATTAAAAGATTAATTTTTCAAGATCAAACCAATAATGATATATCTATACTACAGTGTGTGTGTATCTATATATATATATATATATCAAAGTGGGAGACGATTCGCAAGTTGGCTCAACAAATTTGATCAAGGATTTCTGCCAAGCCGAAGGAAGCGGTTCCACAAATTTGGACTACACGAGCTATAGAGAAGTGCTAGAGATGTTATATGGTCGATTACTTGGATTCGAAAAGGTACCTATTTTGTGTTGGATGATGTGTGGCATATCGAACTTCGGAACAGAAATAACGATATCGCTCCCGGATAGAGAGTATTAAGGACTTCAGATATGTAATGGGCTAGGGCACCGTCAAGTATTCGTACGTTGCAGAAACAGCGAGTAATGACGTGCATTGCATCAGAAGGCAACTTTGTTAAGACTTTTAGGGAACTTGACCCAGCTTACTAGAACTGGCATTACGAATATCAAAGGAGGAGATGAGATGGACCTATGTCTCTCAATCCAAAAGATGAAGCTCCTTCACTACTTGTTCTTAGTGGCAAGTGGCGAAGAGGAATTTCTTAGTACTAATTTGCTATGTTCTATAAATCTTACTCATCTGCAGTTTTTCACTCAATCTATTAACTGTTGAAAAGGGGTTATGGCCAACCTGCATTACATGCACCTTGATAGCTGCATCGAACTGAAGGCGTTGCCAAAGGGTCTTGAATGTCTTGCTAAACTAGAAACTCTGAGACTGGATTTCGTGTCGATGCAACTTCTGGAGTCCATACGAGGAGGTGTGGATCGCCCGAAGGTACAACACATCCCTGAGATCACCCCTTGTTACCAAACATTCTGAATATTTCACGATATTCATGTGGTCGTTTAAACTACTCCAGTAGACAAATTGTTTCAAGTTCATAAATCTAATAAGATATCGATTTGATGTCCATGCATCAAATACTGAATCCTTAATCGTATTTGCCACGCAGGATCTACGATCTGGGGGTGTGTTTCTGAAGAATAATTGGGGACTGGATGGGGGCGAAGTTCCTGCCAATGGCAAAGATGTTCAGTCGACTCCCTACCCCATTGTGAGGGTCTGGACCCCTACGAGTGAGCAGAAAAAGGGAGGAAAGAGGCCATGTGCGTGTTTGTGATAATATTGAAGATTGAATGTGTAAATTTGGGAGGCTCATGAACATGTGTTGTATTTAATCCAGATACTGCGGTCAAAACTAGCTTTGGATGTGAAGATGAAGTGGATTCCAAATTCCTGTTTTACATATTTTGATGGTTCATGATGAATCTGATGTCTTACAAAAATTTCCACCATGCCGACAGACAAGGGAAATTGCCTGCAATGATGAATCTGATTCTGTTTACTACCTTATTTTGTTTTTTGCAATTCTAAAACACACCAAAACTTATAATATCAGATAAATGAAAATCTTTCCGAGAAGAGTTGTGACATCAAATTCATAAAACTCGTCTAAGATCATAATCTTATCACGATTTTGAAGGAAACAGTATCCAACATGACGAAAATATGCTAATTTATCCAAGGAAATTCATGATCACCAAATGCAGCACCACGTTGCAGAGAACAAAATCAGCAAAAGCCCGTTCAGGTGCTAAATCCTGCAGATTTACACGCATTGATCACGATGATGGGATATGATGAGAAAGGTGTGGCAAAACAATGCTACCGACTTATTATCCTCAATCTATGATGAAGAACTGACAGTAGAGAATGAAAAGCTGGTCTAGAGTGTGCAAAAATGTCGCAACTAACCATTTGCGAATCGGACAGAAGGACAAGAAAGACACTGTACCTTAAATTCTTTGTTTTCTTTGTTCACTTGAATACGGAGACAAACTGCAAATAAATAAAAAAAATCAGGTTGAGAGTTAATCTCCTCACATCTAATATGTATTTACACCTGAAAAAGAAATAAACTACGTAATCCCCTTACCAGCAAGGACTGCTGTCCCAACGCAAGAAAGTACTCCAGAAAGAAAAGAGTTGAATGGGAATGATCCAACAAGAGCCATGTAGACTACCTGTCCAAAACAAAATAGATGACCAAATGAAGATTAAAGGACTGTTATAGCACTGCAACGCAGGCGTTCACTTAAACCATTCAGGCTCTGTTTTGGTAGTGTTTCAAGCATCATGATATCATCAGAAAATAGGTATTGGGTAGAGAATATGTTAAAGTGATAGACGCAAAGATGGACATTGTGAATCAAACATTGACAAAACGGACCTGTAATTCTAGAAAGAGGGTGGTGGCATGGATCCCCCACATGTATCCAAACAAGAACTCTTATATACCTTAAGATGAAGCATGGACACCACAAGGTGGTCATGTTGGTGTCAGACATGTAGAGACAACCACTGGAACCTCAAACATATGTTCATCTAAGCTAACATCTTACTTAACACCAAGAAAATAACATGTTACTTGTACTCGAATCATGCTTGCAGAGTCCAGAGTAATTTTCAATGGTGAAAATTTCATATATAAAAAAAACAAAGAAATTGTAAGCGTACCTTAATTAAAGAAGTAGACTAGTATTTGCAAAATTACGACTACCATAACACAAACGATTACACAAAGTAATATTTCGCACAGCAAACACACGCACACACGCACACACACATTTAAAATCATGTATATGCCACGCGCATATTCTAAAATCTTTTCGATGTATTCCATCAAAGAGTAGATGTTGGGTAGTAACCCCATGTCATGTCATGTCATGTGAACATATTTGTTTTACATAGATACGAACAGCTTGACGCAAAATGACTAAACCATATTTTGGTCCCTGGTGCAAGTCGTTTTTTGTCATTTGATAAATATAGCTTGTATTACTAATCTTTTCTCTTTTCAGTTCAATTCAAATAGAAACACACAACGACCAAACTGAGAACGAACATTTTATTTGAAAAGAGAAATGCTTGTCAACCGAAAGTTGGAACTTAACTAGTTTCAGATCAATACAAACAAAACTCAATTTCCTGAAGATCGCATCGAATGGGGGCATCGCGATCTCTGCAAAATGATAGCTTTCCGAATATTCTGGGCACCCAAAACTAAAATTGAGATGATGGAATTACCTGGATGAGGGCTGTGGATACGGCAAACCCAATATAGAGATCGATGATCTGGAAATCCAACACACAAAACAAAAAGGAAAAATTAGGTTAAGCTTCTCTCTGCTTTCAGTTTGTGGATTCTTAGCGATATAGGGGGAGAGAGAAGGAGACCTTGAGAGTGGTGGGAGTGGCGGAGTAAGCAGAGCGGAAAGAATCGAAGAGGGCAAGCGCGTCCTGGGCCGTTGACGACGATGATGCTTTCCCCATTTTTCTCTCTCTCTTCTTCTTGTTCAGTCTTCCTCTCTGTCTCTCTCTGCTTCAGACTTGCAGTGTTTACTAGATCCAACGCACGGACTGGTCTTTCGACCTAAATGGTTTGGGGACATTATTGTCATTTTACGTACATGTGTAATGCTTTGGGTGATTTGGGTGGGCTTCTTCAAAATCTCTCATCTTTAATTTTGTTGAAATTCTAGTTGGGCCAAGATAGGCTTCCTTTTTGTTTAAATCCAACCCAATTCAGAATCTCTCTTGCTTTATTCTCGGATGGGTTGGAAGGTCAACCAAATTTTCATAATTTGGGTTCGAATTGGGCTTCATTCAACTTCAATCGGATTCAAGTTTGATTGGGTTCATTTTTAGTCGTGTGGAATTGGAAAAGCTGTGTGAAGAAAAAAAGAGTCTAATTGCTAGGGATTAGGATTCTCTCCTCTCTTCTTTTCATTCATTTCCATCCACTCCTCTCACATTATCTATTTTGTCTTTCTCTTTGTATAAAAATCTAATATAAGATGTTGACGTTGTTTAACCGTGACCGTTCAAATAGGAAGGGAAGGAAGGACAGAGAAAAAAGAGGAGAAAGAATCATACTCTAATCGCTAGACCCCATGGCAATGACAGCGCCAAGAGCAGCCGTGGTGACAGCAAGCCTTATAGTAAAGTCGAATCTTCCATTCTCCCTAGTAACTATAGATATTGGAATCTAGACCACAATGCTTTCCATATTTTAGTGCACGATTCTAAGTGTTGAAGGAAAATTTAGAGAATGAGGACGATGAGAGACGGAGAGAGACATAGGGCGAGTGAGGGGGAGAGGGAGAGGAGGGAGCTCACGGTTTGTAATTACTTGTTTTTTCCTTATGGTCTTGTGTATTTGTTTTATATTAATTACATGGACTTACTCGTTCTAACCAAGTAATACAAGTCATAAGGGGATTTGATTCCCAAATCTGCTTAGAATCCTACTTCTAGATTTACACAATCAAACTTCAAAATAATATCAACTACAACATCCCTTTTTAAGTGTGTAAAGCTCAAGAAGTAGTCGCATCAGGTGTTCTCAGATAATTGTTAAAGTCTTCAAACTACATAAGCAGTTAATAGGGATGAGCAACGATTACGGCGGGCGGGTAACCGCAGTTATTTACCCATAATTGTTTAAGCTTTTACCCACATAACCGTTTACTCGTTGGGTATTTATATAAACGGGTATACCCATACCCATAACCGTTTATAAACGGTTAACCATGCCCATAACCGCATACCCATTTACCTATAATCGCATACCCATTTACCCATAACAGCGTACCTATTTACTTTTTTGTTTTATCCATCTACCTATTTTTTTAACAACTTGAAAATTAAAAAGAAAGTTGTCATAATTTTCTTTTTGCTAACTATTAAAAACTGTTATAAGTACATTTAACATGTATTTTTATATTAACGGCAATATTACTAATGAATATATGCGATGTCTCCCAATTATTTGACGGTCAATCTATTACAAGAATCATGCATGGTTGTAGCTTAATTAATATTCTTGTATACATATACATATACATATATATATATATATATGTGTGTGTGTGTGTGTGTGTGTGTGTGTGTATGTGTAAGTACGCATCAGTTTGCTAATGAGCTAATTTGATAAATATTTGGATTTTTATTTAGAAACTTATGTTCATTGATCCAAGCCATTTAATCGATTTCTAATTTTGGGGTCAAATATTTATTGAAAACTCGAGGCCAATTAAATATATATATATATATATATATATACACGCATCATCTAATAATAACATGTTTCTAAATGCTCAAGGTAATCATTATCTTGAATTAGTCAAAGCTCCAGAAGACTCCAAAACAAAATTGTCGAACGCTCTAATGCTTTAGCACATTCAATTACACATATTAAACATTAGCTCGTTCTATCAACTATATTTTTATCTCAAATGAGGCATAACTAAATATATATATATATATATATATATATATTATGGCCTTTTATAACCAAATATATCCCGGGATACTAAACCTAGTTAGAAACTATTTTTTTTTTATTTTTTAATTTTTTGTTTTACATATATTAAAATAAATGGTTAAATGGGTACTCGTTATAACCACAGGTAATACCCATAACCGCCCATTTAAATTTCACGGGTAAACGGTTATACCCATAACCGTTTATTTATCTAAACAACCCATAACCGTAACCGTCAAATTGAAATAGACGGATAACTGCAGTTACCCATAACCAATGGGTATTTGCCCATCCCTAGCAGTTATACACATGAATCTAAATTAAGGTTGCATTAAGGAAACATAAACTCACAAAATCCTGGCAATAGTAAAAGCCAAAGCAGGACAAAACCCAAGTTTTAGAGAAAAGGTTGAGAAGTGCAAAGTCAATGCTTGAAGAAAACAAACTGCGATTAATGCTCACATTAGGGTATGACCAAACTATGATAGGTGCATCGTTAAAACCTTGTCAAGTGAACAAATCAAAATGGTACAAATGCTTCTGAACTAAGGGGAAAGAAGTACATTAAGGTCAACTAGGTTTCTACCAGATACTCCCTCTGAGTTCGACAAAACTCCTTAATTAAATTGCTAGCGGCATAATTCGAACAATTTACACATTTCAATTCCTTGGACAAGCTTCAAAAAACTAGACTTCGGTAATTAGTTGGTGAAGAGATCTGCGAGGTTGTCATGGGAATGAATTCGCTTGATTTCGATATTATGATGCTCTAGTTGCTACTGAGAGAAAAGAATATCAATACAATATGTTTGATATGGTCTCCTTTAATGCATCCTTTCGGAATTTAGTCTTTACATTATCTTCAAATATCCTTGGTGGGACGTCAACGAAAGACGACATTCCACAAAGTGCTTCGAATATGCTCAAGAAGAATATCTCAACATGGTTCGAATACGTAGCAACTAAAGTTTACTTAGTAAACCTTCAAGATATTGTGGTTCTAACAACGGTAAAGACATAACCTTTTTTCTTTTGATTTTTTTCTGCTTTTCCACACACAAATGAAGAATGACATGACAGTAGGAAGTCAAAACTCGTCTACAATATTGAAACTTTTCACACGTACTTCTTAGTAAATCAGACATAAACACAAAGAAGAAACTGTCGTCTCAAAATAAATAGCAACACAGCACAATGTTCAAGTCAATTTGCCTTGCGTTTAAGCACAACAAGATAGACCATTGCCTTCCCTGCCACTACAACGGATTGCTGCTCTGCAAGTCTTTTACCATACAAGTCAAAGAGCTCGTCCAAGATTTCGTCTCCAAAATGCTGCTTGATGAGTCCCTCCATTGTAGCTCTCACTTGAGATGCAAGTAGTTGAGGAATATTATAGACAATGTCATGCGCGGCAAAATGATGCAAATTTTCCCATCTTTCCACGCTAAAGCGTCCATTTCGTTCCATAGCAGCTTCTAGTTCTTTGGATGACATGAAATAATTAGGTATATTAAATGAATCTACTTTCTCTTCATCAACAATTCCCTGCATGCATAAATTCAAAAAAAACAAAAAAAAAAAAAGGAAAAACCATAAATATCTAATGATAACACAATAGGTAAGCCATAACTTATAAGTATCGAACTCAACCTAAATATTATATCTAATCACCCACAAATGATCTAAACCTGAGACTTGAACTCCCTAGTAGCTAGACTACCGGTGGATAAGAATACCACTAGACATCTTGTAATAAAGTAACATTGTACCAGAGCGTGATAATCAATTAAAGTCTTCTTTTAGTTCTAAATTTTTAATTTACAAAGATTAGATTTCATTTTTGGAGAAACAAAGATTACATTATTTAGATGACTACACATAAGGAAGATGATGAACTATAAATAGTAGTTTAATACAACACTAAGATCAGTTTACAATTAATCTCTTACCTTCCTAGTCATCTCCATGAGGCATGATCCCAAAATTTGAAAGAGCATATTCGGCAGAGATTGAGAATGAGGGGTATCGTCCTGGCGACCTGGAATGATAAGTACCATGAGTCCTTCATTCACAATCTCTTGTGCCCTCGCATTCAGGAAGCACTCCATGTCCTCAACATTTTGGGCTTCATAAGCCCTTAACACTTCATCAGTGGCATCTGAGTAAAAGATTCGACCTTTATTCCACGCAGGACTGTTTTTATCCACTACCTCTTTTGGGACTCGAGAAATCCATGGAATGGAAAAGGAAGAGTGAAAAAGGTGGATGGAACTACTAGGAAATAGCCGACCATGGAAGGAACCTGGCACACCCGCGGCATAGTATTGCCGGTTGTGTGGGAGGGAGTTGAAGAGCAAGTTAAAATCATTAGAGGCATGATCATTAAAGAAAACCTGAAATTCGGGTATTTGGGAATTCAACCCTAGGGATTTGCATTTCAACTGCAGAGCTTCAATTACGTTTTCCACTGAAAAAAATGTATTGGGGCCAACAGAGCAACCCAAATCTGCAATTCTAAAGGTCTTGGAAGATAACAAGGTTTCCAGTTCAAGCTCTGCAATTGCCTTGTTTACAAATTGTTTGGAAGCATCCGCACCTCCTCTCTGCACAAGGAGAAACGTTGGTGTTACATTTATTTGAATCTAGAGGGAATCCAGAACTTTTTTTTTTCTTTCTGGTGTGGTTCCAAGGAGATATTTTTGTATAAATTAATATTGGTTTGAATGACTGCTTATGCGTAAAGAGCCAAGCAATGTTCAGTTTATTATACATTACTAAATAATGAACATTACATATATGTTTATAACAGTGAATAGCTAATTACTAGCAACCAATTAAATTGTTTCTTAATTACTCAATTCGTTTTGGCAATGTACATATTCTATGCGTACAATGAGATCAAAGAATATAGGTTTTTTAGCTAAAATGGTCACTGAAATTGTCATAGCTCGTCACTTTGGTTCTCTAAGATTTGAAATCAATAGAAGTAGTCCCTAAGTTTGTCCCCTGTCAATCATATTTGGTCATTCCATGAAATTTTTTGTTAAATAAGAACCAAAATGATTGATGGTGGACAAATTCATGAACCACTTCTATTAGTTTCACATCTCAGAGACCAAAGCAATGAGTTATACCAATCTCAAGACCATTTTATCTAAAAAGCCAAGAATTAATTATTTCCGATTTTAGTCTGCAGACCACTTTATATATATTAACATATTTATAATTTATGTTTGGAGGTACAAGATAAATAAGCATGTTTGCCATGGATTGACTAAAGTCTGCTACTCTGATATATATATAAGACTATAAGCCTTTATCAATTGCATTTTACATTTCTTTGGCCTAATTAACAAGTGAAAGGGAAAGTTTCTCGGTGTACTCCAAACACGCCACAAGACGTTATTGTTCCTCTCAAATAAAAACGTACGTGTGTATTTTTTAATTAATGAATATACCTTAGAAGATTTTTTTTAGTACATTGATATTTTTACACTAAGGAGAGGAGGAGTTTGGCAAAACCACACAATGGTCAGCCTAATTTGGTATCGAATTTGCCATCCACGAGATTTGAACCGAAGACTTCTCATCAAATGAAGAGGAATACCACCAGACTATAATATTTAATGACATCATGTACCTTAGAAGTTAGACATATAAACCATGTCATTCACTCTTATTATAAGACGAAAATAATAGTACACTGTACAACACGTACGCTACTTGTTTTTCCGCTTTCCATAAGGAGGCGTTCAAAACAAGGCAAGCAGCTACCACCCGACAACCCCAAAATAGAAGGGGAAAAAATAAGGTAAGCACTAGAAGAACAATGTTCAGAGAAAGGATCATCAAACCAAAGCACCCACTAGAAGCAAACCCTAGCGGAGGACTGATGAGAATAACTTATATATATTATTTCTATGGAATGTATGTAAGCAAACCCCAGCGGAGGACTGATGAGAATAACTTATATATATTATTTCTATGGAATGTATGTAAGCAAACCCCAGCGGAGGACTGATGAGAATAAGTCATATATATATATATATATTATTTCTATGTAGCGTATGTCAATATGTGTAGTTTCAAACTGCAGAAGAGGTAACTATTTCTGTCCCCAAGAATTAGAATATTAATTGATTCTGACAAAGTCTAGCCAAATGCACTTAAGAGAGATTCATAGTGAAATGAAGAAACCTGGTAAACGGAGTTGTTAGCATAGCCCGTTGGTCCATCTCCACCTTTCATTGGATAAGCTTCACAGATTTTGCTGTTTTCCTCTGTTGCTGCCATCTCTCCTCTCTCTCTCTCTCTCTCTCTCTCTCTCTCTCTCTCTCTCTGTGTGAATATTATCAAGTTGTATATATGCGTTTAGTGAAATGAAAATCAGTTTCTTGTTTTTGATTATGTGCCTGGTATTTTATTTGCATCCCCAACCCAACTGGCAACTGCATGCGTACAGTGTGTCGTCAAGAACTCTGCATGCACAGTAGTATGTGTCATATGATAAACAAAAAAAAACAAAACGTAATTGCATGGTAGGGGACAACTCACCTATTCAAGCCGAGTAATAGACCTTGGATATATGGGGCTGCTAAAATTAGGTGCCTGTAGGATTTTTTTATGTATATTCTAACTTATTTGGAGGCCAATATATAGTGTACAAAGGTTATAGATAAAGAAGAGAAATTAATTCTAATGAAAACAAATCCTACTAATCGGAAACCAATCTACAAATCCTACTAATGGGAAACAAATCCGATTAATAGAAAACAAATCCTACTAATGGGAAACAAATCCGATTAATAGAAAACAAATCCTAAACAAGTCCTAATTACAATAAAATTAAATTCTAACATGAAATAAATCCTAATAGGAAGAAAATCAAACACATCAAAGGTAATTACAATAGGATGCTTTACCATAGTGGCAGAAAGAAATCATACTTATGCATGCATTTTGCTTAATTAGATTGCAAGTTGCATAATTCGGACAATTTACAGCATTTCAATTCCTATGAAAAACTTCATAAAAATAACTTTGACGCAATGTGCTTGGTATGGTCTCTCTTGATGTACCATTTTCAAGTTTGCTCTTTACATGCAATATTATCTTCAACTATCGTTGTTGGGATGTCAACGAGTGATCACAATCCACAAGTGCTTTGAATATGCTCGACAACAGCTCTAAGTCATGTACACTCACGAGCAGCCTCATAGAGAACAAGTATCTCAACATGGTTTAAAGATGTAGCAACTAAAGTTTGCTTAGTATTCTTAGTAGACCTCCAAGATATTGTGGTTCCACCAAATGTAAAGACATAATCCGTGTGGACATAACCCATTTGCGGTTCCACCACATCGTTACCGAGCAGAGCTCAAGACACCATCTTCTTTCCGACGACAGTTCAGGCGAAGGGGAAAGAGAGAGAGAGAGAGAGAGTGCGCCACGGGTTGAAACCCCCAATTTTTCACGGAGGGAGGACACCGGCCGGTTTAGGGTTTCAACCCTTCTTTCTTTTTAATTATTTTTTTTTCACGCCCAACAAGTGAGTTTTGCTTATGTGACACAAGACAGATTGAAAGCAAAGGTGAAGCCTTATTAGTAAATAAGACAGAAGCACAAAGAAGAAACAATAGTCCTAAAATAAATACCAACAACACAGCACCATGTTCAAGCCAATTTGCCTTGCGTTGCCTTCCCTGCAGCCACTACAACGGATTGCTCTGCAAGTCTTTTACCATACAAGTCAAAGAGCTCGTCCGAGAATTCGTCTCCAAATCGCTGCTTGATGAGTCCCTCCACTGTAGCTCTCACTTGAGATGCAGGTAGTTGAGGAATCATATAGACAATGTCATGTGTGGCGAAATGAAGCAAATTTTCCCATCTCTCCACGCTAAAGCGTCCATTTCATTCTATAGCAGCTTCCAGTTCTTTGGATGACATGAAATAATTAGATAGATTAAATGAATCTACTTTCTCTTCATTAACAATTCCCCGCACGCAGAACTTTAAAAAAAAAAAAAAAAAAAAAAAAGAAAGAAAGTAAGCCATAACTTATAAGTATTGAGCTTAACACAAATATTACACGTAATCACCTACATGTGATCTAAACTTGAGATATTAACTTACTAGATTACCAGTGAATAAGAATATCACTGAACATTCAACAATCATATAATGAAAGTAACATTGTACCAGAACGTGATAATCAATTAAAGTCTCTTCTTCAAGGAAAGGGTAATGTTATAACTTAGGATTGTTATTATCTTAATCACAAATTAAGAGTCAAGCTAGTTGTAATTGAGGGTTTTACTTGTTATTAGGAGAATTTGTTAAAAAGGCCAGCTGTCAATTATTGTATGAGGTATTATAAAGCACGTATGGTCCTTGAAAGAGAGATGAGATTGTTGATGTACAAAATTAGTGAAGACTTTGGAACAACGTTAAGTGTCAAATTTGTGACCTTCGTTCGGTTGTTTTGGTCACCTAGTGATAATAATATGTAAAGAGATAGAGATAGGGAAGCAAACACAAGATGTACGTGGTTCACCCTACGTCTGGCTATGTCCACGGAGTAAAGGAGTTCTTATTAATAGTGAAGGGTTTACACAAATACATAAGTTTAAGTATAATCATCATCAGTGGGTTCTAATGACTAGTTTAAGTACAATAATGACACTAGGGATTAATTGTAGGAGAATGATATTCTTCTATAATTGAGGAGAGTCTCAAGCTTTTGTTCGCGGTCAATGTGGGACTCTATGAGTTTTATTCTAATGTTGACATATGTCATGCTGTAATTGGCCTCCTGAGTGAAGGGAAACTCTCGTGCTTCGACAAGGGCTGCCTCAACATGAACCTCTCAATGGGCCCTTGAAGGTATAAAATTGACTGGTGCTTAGTAATTTCGGGATTGGGTAAGTATGGTATAAATAATGCTCCCCTAAGTTCCTGAGTGAGGAAAGCTTCTCGGTTCGGAAATTGAAAAATTCAAGTCACCGAGTAATCACGAAACTTCTAAGTACTGAAGTGTAGTAGCATATAGTAGGCGTCCCCCAAGTCTCCAATCAAAGAGAGTTGCCGAAGAAGGTACCTTGCTAATAGCCAAGTTGTCAAAATAACAAAGCTCCACATTTTCTCTTTCAAGTGGTAGCCCAAAACTCCTTTCTCATATATTTTTTAAGAACGTTGTTAGGCCCAAAGAAGATGAGGCCCACGCCCATTTTCTTTGTTATTTCTGGTTTAGTTGCCAAGCCCAAGGAAGAGAGGAGGCCCACGCCTGTTTGTTGGCAGCCTCTCTCTTCTTTATTAGTTTTTTATTTGAATTTCAAACCCTAGGTCTTAGGCGAGGGTTCCCTTGCCTTCACCACACCCCTCTTATTTTATTTATTACTATCTTATATTTTATAATACTTTTGTAGGTCAAAATCCTTTTTTTTTTTAGAGTTTTAATGAAAAGTCCACGGTACTCACTTTAACGAAAAACTACATTTTTACACTAAAAAGTCAATCCTAGTACCATTCACTTTACCCTTTATTTTGTCCTTATCATTAAAACTCAAAGTCTTCAAGCCCTTTTCATTAGTTTTCCTTTTTTTTTTTTTTTTTTTTCTCTTTTTTTTTTTCCTTTTTTTTTGCCTTTGTGTTATAAACTTCTTATTTAAGTGTGATTGTGTAAATCTAAGATTAGATTTTATTCTAGTTATTCTTTCATATTAGGACTTGTATTCCTTGGAGGAGAATAATTTCTTCTCTCTCTCTTATTACTATAAATAAAGGCATTGCGTAAGGGGAATAACATATCATCTACACAACCCTACAAACACATCTCTCTCTATATTTTCTTTGTGTCGTCAGGCCCCCTCTCCTTTGTCAGTTAAATATAAGCCACAACACGTTATCAGCACGCTCCTGCCGCTGCGCTTAGGAATCTGACGTGGAAGTTTTCTGCATCAAACCAGTTCATTAATATCATCACGCAATCAGGTTCTTTCAAAACAACGGTTTTTATCTTGATATTTTTGCAGCCCTGATAGCATGAACATTCACTATAATGCATAACTCAACTTTACGTTTTTTGAATTTTAGATTCTACATAAATCGTGTATGCATTATATCCATAATTATTGAATTATGTGAATTTGATATTGCCACAAATTGCATCAAATATCCGTCCATGCAGTAAATTATTTATATGAATATGCATTGAATTAATCTAGAATTGAAAAAATTGTAAAGAATTTTTTTAGTATTTCGTTGAACACCCATTTATGTTGATAGGCTCCCTTCCCCGAGCCGAGAACCCAAACCCTAAACCCGATGCCTAGACAACGTCACCCCCTTGAACCGTCGTGACGCATGGCCTGCAACCATGCCCAGCCACCATGGCTCCCTCCTCGATGACTGGAAGTCGTCCCCGACGAAAATTGGATCGAGATTCACTTAAATCTCATCGAAATGTTTTTGAAAATCCAATTTTAATTTTTCTAGGGTTTGGTTATTGAAACGTTGAGATTAAACCATCTATGTCCACCATTATGGTCGTCAACGACCACAGTGACTTGCCCCGAGTCCTATAAACCTAGACACAGCTGCCAGAAGCGGTGGCGCCGAACATCTTCTCTGATGCGCCACCCAGCATGGCTGGGATCTGTGTTTGGTTTGACCTACAACCTTTTGGGCCTAGACCCTTCTCAAGCTATCTGTATAATTTTTTTTTGGGCTTGCGAACCAAACCCAGTTGCTGTTCGCCCTAAACCTACTCGCGACACCAGCCTAATTGGGCTTTGGTGTCCCCATGTCCTCATTGTAGTAAAACCCAGCCCCTATGGGGCTCTCGGTGTTCCCTGCACCCTGATTCACTAGATCGCATCCCCAGGATCATTTACGTTGCGAAGCAGCGAATCTGTGCCATTCAGAGCCCTCTTGGATCTCGCCCATAAGGTTAGGCCTGCTCCTATAGCCCAGAAAAGCCTGCATCCTTTTCTGTTGGCTCGGCCCACATTATACCTAGCCCAATTTTTGGGCCGGGGTTGCACAGTATTAACCTACTCAGTCCACTTATGGGCTTTGGCCCATTATTGTGGGGCCCGAATTTAATTGCCTATTTTTTTTAGGCCTTATGGGTTTTATAATTTTTCACCCACACTTTAAATTTGGTCTGAAGTCCATATAATTAATTCAATTATAATTATAGACCTGAAGTTCTATTCACGTATTTTCTTGGTGCATATTTATGTATATATATATATATATATGTGTGTTTGTTTATAGGTACTATGAACCTGAAGTTCATAAACTTTTTCTCGAAAAAAATTAATTGAATG